GGTCCAGAACAAGGCCCCAAAGCCTGCCACAAGTCTAAAGCATCTTCCAGTGGGGACCCACAGCAAAGGGTCACAAACAACCGGACAAGCCCGGAAGGAAAAGAGCAAAATCAACATCAAGATAAAAGCTGCCATTGTCACCTCCCCACGGGTCTCACCCACATCTGTGTCACCCAGTCCACGACCAAAAGACAAGCACAGTTTCTTCACGTGTCTCTAGGCTCCATCCTGCTTCCTTCCTTCCTCAGTCTCTTCTTCTGCTTCTCCTCTTCCTGCTCAGCTCCACCCTCCCTTGGGTGGGGCAGGGAACCTCCCCCTTTCCTGGGGACCACCCTGTTACAAGCTGAGGGTGGCCCCAATATGCGTTTATGGAAAAAGTGAGCGAGTATTGTGAGATCATTTTTTGTAAACGAAGGACTGACTCATTTGAGTACCAGATTTTTTGAGCTTGCTAGCCATTTGCATTTTGATTTTAAGTAGGACAAAAATCTCTTACTTCTAATCAACTGTCTTGCCACATTTCTTTATCATACATATATTTGTGTGTCTATGCCTCCTGTGGTGGCAATCTTCTCTCAAGTGGTGTGTGATCACATTAGATTAGTTTATTAATTCAGAGGCCAGCTAATGCCTCCAGGAGATCCTCCCCCATCCTCCCTTCACAAATGTATATATATTAAATCACATTTCTCTCTGTGTGTATTTTGAACTAAACAACTAAGAATTTATCCCTGTTAAATTTCTTTTTTTTAATTTTGATAAATTTATACCTAACCAAGAGCTCTTCGAATCCTCATTCTCTTAGCCAATGAATTTGCACCCACTTCTTTGCTATATAATTTACCATTTTTTATTGCCTATACAACATTGATTGTAAAACATACCATTACTTTATGTTCCACTAAGAGAGAAAAGAATTCACCAATTAAACTATGACTTACATTTATCACTTACTTTATTTTTTTACCTGGTAACAGCTCTTTTAGACATTTTTAACATAAGTTTTTCCTTATATTTCTCATAGATATATTAAAAAAGGAAAATTCTGTGAAGTAAAGATATTTCTAAAACTTCTTTACACTCAAGACCTGTTTTGTATCATGTTTAGACTAAGAGGCTTCGTGTGCCGTTTTACCACATAATATTCTCTTATGGGCTATCAAGAGTATTGGCAATGCTGCATTCTTAGAAGAATACTAGAGTTTTCTCCCTAGTATCTGATTCCCATTCCGCAAGCTTTCTTGGTATTGCTAGAGGTTACCAATGGAATGTTTTCAGACAGCAACCAGGTGCCTGAAGCCTCAAGCAGTCTGAATTGCCCAGTCATGCCTATGGAAAAATAACCAACTTCATGCAGGTAGAGATACCCCATCACTGGGCGTACAGTGGAGGTGAAATACCAGGGCACACCCCTTATTCTTGTATTAAATATTATAATTTACAAGACACCTTTCCACAAGGATGAAATATTCTTCTCTAGTCACATACTTATATTACCAGTCAATAGCCACGTTTATATTTTCCTTTGTCTGCCAAGTAAATAGCACTTTTTAAATAAGCTTTAAAATTTCACTAATGGGGCCTCCCCACTGGCACAGCGGGTTGAACGCGGCACTGTGAAGCTGTCAGCAGTCTATGCAGCGCAGGTTCAATTCTCGGCCAGCCAGGGAGCAACCCAATGGCGAGGCAGACCTCGCCTGTTGTGCCTGCTGCTCCCCTCAGCAGTGTATTCAGTCCGTCTGCCTGTTTGCTCCCACTCTGTCTCTGGTGAATCCACTTACCCTCCCACGCCTCTGGCCTGTACCCCAATTCTTGTATAAAAATAAAAATAAATCTTTAAAAAATAATAAAATTAAAAAATAAAATTTCACTAATGTTTCATTCTGCAATCTGTCTTGTTCTAGATAGTCATGTAAGACATCAGGGAATGCCTCAAAATTCTTTGTTTCTCTACCCTCTTTTTTTTGAGGAAGAACTCTTAGCATATGTTTTAACCAGTAAAACAGTGTCATTGTACTTAAAAAAAAAACTTTTGACATAAACATAAAACCTAAAACTGGAAAACTTTTAGAAAATTTGGATTTGGCAGTGGTTATTTTGGATATGACACTAAAAGCATAGGCAACAAAAGCACAAATAGATAAATGAAACTCAGTCAAATTTGAAAACTTCTATACAACAAAAGAACACAACAGAGTAGAAAATTAACCTATGAAATGGGAAACAATAGAATGTCAGAATATATAAGAATGTCTACCACACCAAAACAAAAAATCAACACAGTTTAAAAATAGAAAAGAGCCAGAATATTCCTCCAAAAATCATATACAAATGACCAACATACATATGAAAAGATGCTCAGCATCAATAATCACTAGGGAAATACAACTCAAAACCACAATGAGATATCATCATTAGGATGACAATTTAAAAAAAAATACAGAAAATAATAAGTGTTGATGATTGTAGAGAAATTCAAATACTGCACACTTGGTGAGAATGTAAAAGAATACAATCACATGGAAAACATTATGGCCATTTCTCGGATGATTAAAACTAGAATTTACCATATAATCCAGCAATCACACTTATGGAATATATACCCAAAATAATTGAAAGCAAGATTTCAAAGATTTAATTGCACATGCATGTTCATAGTGGCACTATTTTTTTTTGAAGATTTATTTTATTTATTTATGCATACAAGAATTGGAGTGTAGGCCAGAGGTGCAGGGAATAAGAATTCACCAAAGAAGAGCGGGAAGCAGAACAAGCAGATTGACAAAAATACATTGCCAAGGGGAACAGCGGTTGAGACAGGAGAGGTCTGCTACACCATGTGGGTTAGCTCCCTGACTGGGATGAAACTCAGGCTGTAGTGGTGATAACACTGAGACTTAACCTCTAGGTCACCAGGGAGGCCCATATTTCCAACTTTAAATAATGACTTAAGGAAAATGTTAAGCATAGAATGAGAAATAAGATAGGTTCCTTGTCCTTAAGAAATTCTCAGTCTAACAGCAGAGATAAAAGTGTGAATAAATAGCTATAGTACAGTCTTATAAGGGAACTAGCAGAATGCACAGCATAGGGGAAGAAATTATTAACTTAGGTTTGGGAAGCAGGGAAAAAAACGAAACCCTTGTGGCATGAAACAACATTCAGGAACCCCAGGTAGCTCAGAAGTGTGAAAACATGACATACCAAGGAAAGGATGGCAAGAGAGAAGATTAAATAAGTAAGGAGAAGTGAGACTATGAAGGTTCTTTTGTATCAGCTAATGCATTCCCACATCTACACTAAGTAAATGAGATCCATTTAAAGACTTCAATTTTCTTTAAACGTTTATAGGATTAGTATGTAGTTCTAAAAAAAAAATGTCAGTTTTCACTCAGGGAGAGGGAGAGAGCAGAAAATACGGCTGGAGGAGGTAAAGGGTGGTGGGAAAACTATGGTGACCTTAACTGGGGGCAGAAACCGTGTAATATGAAAAAATAAGCAAGTATGTGTAAAAAGACAAAATAAAATATATTTTAAATAATTCATTTCTAAGCGTTAAAATTATTCTACTTGAGAATTTTTCAGTTCCTTTGTTTGGAAATTAGTGGTGGTAGTAATAAAAACAAAAAAATAGAATCAAATGAATAACGAGTGACTACTACACAACCAGGCAGAACTGGGTCATTTTACAGTAAAATCCAGCTGTTTCTTCACAGTCCGGAATCACTAGTTTCCTTTCTATTCAGGACGATGAAGAAAACATTGTGAATAGGTTAGTTTAAATCTAAAGGAGGATGAACATTTGAAGAAATGGATTAATCCTAATTTATATAACTTTTCTACCACGAGCCTTATTTTGCATTTGAGAAGTTGGCATGGATACCCACTGATGGTGGATTTCTGTTCCATTGTATGGATATTAAAGTAAGAGGAGATGGGGATTTCCTCTGACCTCTCTTCCTTGTCTGCTTCCTAACCTCTTTCCTGTGTTCAGGCAATTAGCAGCAGTTCTTTGCCAGACAACACTGAGCACACTGATAGAAGGCCAGCAGCCAGCACCGCCCCATACCTGAAATTAATTTCATATGTTTTGTTATTCAAGAGATAATCAACCTGCAGGTATATATGTAGATATAGAGTCCATTAAGTCTAAGAATTTTTGGATCTCTTTACTTTTTCAAATCTTTTACACATTTATGTAAGTTCCATAAAAAACCATATTTTTAGTTTCCTGAGGCAACCTAAAATAACACTTTTGAAGTCAACTGAAATAAGGAAGCACTGAGCAATTCTTGCTTAACAAACGCCATTTCTTCCAATTTTCTTAGATTTGGATGAATTTTACCTTTAAGAAATTATTGATATGCTATATTCAGAATCATAAAAACAGTGAACTTAATCAAGTTCATAATGCTTCTCTTATGTATGTCTTCAATATCTTATTAAAGGATGTATTCACTCAAATGAAAGTCTAAAAAATTAAGTGAAAAAAATTATGACATTTATTTCTACCTTAATAATGATATTCTTTTTTTTTTTTAAGATTTATTTTGTCTATTTATGCATATAAGAATTGGTATCCAGGCCAGAGGTGCAGGGGTGAGAGGATTCACCAGAGACAGAGTGGGGAGCGGAACAGGCGGATCTACTGAAATATACTGCTGAGGGGAGCAGCAGACAAAACAGGAGAGGTCTGCTGCCCCACATGGGTCAGCTCCCTGGCCAAGATTGAACTCATGTCTCAGTGGCTGGCGATAGCTTGATCGCAATGAGACTTTAACCCCTATGCCACTGGGGAGGTCCATTATTGATAATCTTACATACCCGCCAGTTCGTAAGGTCACTTGTTTTTTCCTGACATGAATTTCAAAAAACACATAGTACATTTTAGTGTAACACTGAGATTAAATCACATGAATATGTTTCCTATTCATTTGTAGAAATTATGCAGAATTCAATTTTGTCAATGTATAAATTTATCTTTGCCTTTGATATTTCAGCTTCATCAAACCCAGAAGTCATCAAAATAAATTCAGTTCTGGATATAGTTACAAAAGTGGAAGACTACTATCTTAAAGGATATGTTGTCGGGGCTATTCATCCTGTTATACAGCCCACGGGCCAGCGCAAACATCTACCTGCAAGTCACCTATATAGGGTGGTGCTGTCACGCTTGAAATTAAGGTAAGCCTGAACCTCAAGAAAGCAGTTGTGATGAGAAGCTGTTAAGATGGACAATTTTCTTTGGCTATAGGAAAATAAAGTTTGAAGAAAGTGATGGAGAATAAAGAATAAATAGGGATTTTGGTTTTGCTGGCACATTTTCCATCAACTGGGCCTAGACTGAGAGAAGGAAACTTAAAATTCCTCATTGATTTTAGCCCCTTGTAGACAAATAAGTCCTAGGTGAGGATGTCAGAAAAAGACTCAAGAAGCACCTGTAGCAACGTCAGTGGGTGACTGGGGTAGCTACTAGGTACAAGTACCATCCTGGACTAAAAGAGCTGACTAGACCAATAAAAGACCACAGTCACTGTGCTTTTATTGCGCTGTTCTCTAGATAGTGGCAACAGAAACTATCTCTACCTTCCAAAATTTCTACAATGACTAATTAAATCTTTTATGACAGAAAAGACCTACTATGCCATATTTTCACAAATTGAATATACCTCTTAACTTTTTCCAATTTTTAGTTTAGTTTATTTTTTCTTTTACATACTGCTTTCCTAAACAATACTCTAGCCATTTTTGCCAGCCTAGCTCGTGAGTTTGATAGTTTTCAAAATGCTATTGCTCCTTCCAGTGAAGAATGGTAATAAACAGACCAGTGTCTTAGGTTAACATTAAAATTTTCACACAATTCTTTAATTATGTCAAATTATCTCAGAGACCCTGCAGAGTAAAACTGTGTTTTGTCTTTATAGTGATGGAAGAATAGCAAGGAGAAAAAATGGGAAAAAAAGAAAAAAGGAAAAAGGACATCTATTTGCATTTTGAATTAGATTTTTTTTTACTTGTGCTTTTGTACAATGAGGTATAGCAGTGATCTAAAATGATTTCTCATAACTTTATTCGAACATCAGACATGAAGTTTTTCTTCCACATTAAATTAGAAGTTAGAGGTTTAAATGAAGAAAATTTAAATTAGTAGCAAGTGATTGTATTTGTCTGATATTTTTACTTAAGCTTGAAAAAACAAAAATGATTGCTTTGACCTTATTTGTGAGTTGCTCATTCATATTCACATAAATATTTTAGCTGAATATCAGCGATTGGCTCCCAACTGTGAACATATTTTCTGTTACAGCCAGAAGCATTCAGCAGCACCCAGTGGACAAAGACGCCCAAGGCTTGTGATTGAGGAATGTCCTCTAACTTATGAAACACAAGCAAATGACATAGCAAAGGAATTGATAGAAAAGGTAATAAATATACACATTTTTTTCATGGGATATTGAGAAATATTTGGTATTTCTTCATTAATTTCTTTTCTTACTTAAAAAAACAAACAGGGAAGTGATAAGTGACTTATTCTACCAGAATTTAAAACATATTGAAGCACATGTACCAAAGTACACAGAGAGAAAACAGAATACGCAGGACAATGAAAAAAAGGAATGGAAATGCCGGAAAGAAATCAGTACACATATAAGAAATTTAATTACAAACGTGATGAAATAAAATGGGGAAAACACACTCACTACTAAATATATGCTGCTGGGAAGGTGGGTAACTATTCTGTAGAAAACAGACTTCACAAATTTCAGATGAGCAAAGAAGTACTTTTTTAAGTATAAAAAATTTGAAAGAAAATGTAAATGTCAACATATTCAATTATGTATAAAGTGTTTAAGTATATAACGTATATACTAGGAAAACTAAATTTAAAAAAAAGCATTAGGGAGCACATCTCAATAAACACAGCCTGGGGAGCTTCACTTTCAGAACATACAGGAAATTAATACAAACACATGAAGGTAATGTTCAGTCTTGAATGGACAAACAGAATATGGATAGCAAATATTAATGGTAACATAACTTATAAAGAGATATTGAAGGAAAGGTTTAAACCAATATTTTTTTAAAGATTTATCTATTTATGCATACAAGAGCTGGGGTACAGGCCAGAGATGGAACGGGTGAGAGGATTCACCAGAGACAGGGTGGGGAGCAGAACAGGCAGACTGACTGAAATACACTGCTGAGGGGAGCATCAGGTGAGACAGGCGAGGTCTGCTGTGCCATGTGGGTTGCTCCCTGGCCTGCTGGCGATAGAACTCGTGCTGCAGAGGCTGCGGATTGCTTCATAGCACGGTGCTTAACCCCTTGCGCCACCAGAGAGGCCCCTAAACTAATAATTTTTAAAGCAAATAAAATCTGAGAACTTTACTTCACCGGTGTTAACTGAAAAATTAAATCGAAAATACTAAATCCAGTATTGGCAGAGTTTTAAGAAAACATTCACATATTGCAAATGGCATTGTAATAAATTAGTACAGTGTTTCTGAATATCAACTTGGTAATAAGAATCATAAATACCATACCATTTTATTTTGTGGCACAGTGATTTCCTCTTTAGAAATCTATTCCAAAATTTTAACTGAAGAGGGAAAAAGTCAATTTTATTTAAGATATTTTATCAACAGTAAATATGAAGGGCCATATTCCCAATAGTTGGAAAACTGAGAAGGAAGCAATGGTCTATCAATACAGAGGAGTAATTTATGGGCAAGAAACATGACAGCCATATTAGCTGTCAAGATTGAAAAGTCTATACAACTAACTTAATGGAAAAATTCAATACTATATGCATATTGATAGTGTTGTTATTTCATCCGAGGAATAAAGTGTGCATTTATGTATTATTTCACTCGTTCACCCGTACTTCCATACAATGTATTGTAAATTGATGGAATTTTATAGTGAAGTTTTTAGTTGCAGTGACATACTTGTACAGTTTGAGTTTTATTTAAATATACATGGTCAATAACATAAGGTATTTCTTTTGAAGCAGGAAACTAGGACTTGTTCACCATTTTTATTGTTGTTTCCAAGTTTTAAATGACTATGTATGTAAAATTACCTGTGGTTTTTGTTCAGCCAGTTCTTGCTGCTAATCATATTTCCCATTTATGTATAAAGTCACCATCCAATAAGGTTTTTTAAGGATAGTCTTTGAAACTAGATTTTTATAAACAAGGTACACATACTGTTTACTACTACTATTCTGGGAAATTTCCAATTTTCTTCTGGGAATAAATCTACTCTAGAAAGTTTCTTTTGGAAACAAAAATATAAGTACTAATTTAGCACTAACGGATCACCATCACAGCCCTTGTTTTGCATTTTACTTCCTGGATACAGTTAAAGATCTATTTAAACAGGAAAGTATTGTTATTTCAGCAATTAGAGTAATGAGGGTATTTCATGAAAAGAAAAGCTTCAGGAAACATAGCACATAAAATATTTGAACAGTGCCCAGTTGTGAAAAGAGCAGCAGATAAATGGCAACTACTGTTTTTGAACAGTTGCTGTTTGAGTTGATTGTTGCACAGCTAGATTTTAAGTCAGGTTTTAACAATATACCAATGCTTGCTCTGTTTTTAAAACTAAGTTTACAGGGCTCCCTGGTGGTGCAGCAGGTTGAGCGCAGCGCTGTGAAGCTGTCCACAGCCTCTGCAGCGTGGGTTCGATTCCTGGCCCCTGGCCAGGGAGATTCCCACGTGGCAAGACAGACCTCTCCTGTCTCACCCGCTGCTCCCCTCAGCAGTGTCTGCAGTGTCTTCGGTCAGTCTTCCTGTTCTACTCCCGACTCTGTCTCTGGTGAAGCCTCTCATCCACCTGCGCCTCTGACCTGTACCCCAGCTCTTATATAAATAAAATAAATCTTTAAGGGCCTCCCAGTGGCGCAGCGGTTGAACGCTGGGTTGCGAAGCTGCCCGCAGCCTCTGCAGCGCTGGTTTGATCCCCAGCCACCGGCAAGGGTCCCACATGGCGCACAGACCTCTCCTGCTGCCTGCTGCTCCCCTCAGCAGTGTACTTTGTTGGTCTGCCTGTTCTGTTCCCCCACTCTGGCTCTGGTGAATTCTCACCCTCCCACACTTCTGACTGTACCCAGTGCTTGTATAAGTAAATAAAGAAATCTTTTTAAAAAATAAATAAATAAATCTTTAAATAAAATAAAACTAAGTTTACAAATGTTTTCCCCAAGATCGTCAAATAAAACTTTTTTAAATGCTGTTCTTCCAACTGAAAAAATGGGAAAGACATTACTATTCTATTTGTAACCAGGTGTTTCCAGATAAAACTTTCTAGTAATAGAAAATGCCTTCTACACTTTTTCACCCACAGCATCTAATAGGCCCTAGAAAAGTACTGATAATAAATTCACCCATTCTACCTGCAGAATATCATACCTCTTTATCACCTCCTTGCTTCTCCCAGGATACCAGATATAAAGGACAATTTGTGATTATTTTTAAGACTTCATGTATTGTTACAATCACTATATGTTCATTATAGGAGTAAACATCGTTGTATCAATCCTAGTCCTTTGTCATTCCTCCACACATTCAAGCCCTCTGTCTTTGCCTGGATCCCTCTCTTCTTCCACTGGAGCTGAATTATGCCCTCTGAGTGGGCATTGCTCCATAGTTTGCCCCCCTTCTTCCTGGCCATTTCCATCCCATTCCATTTCTGACTGAAGATGTTTATATCTGCAATCTCCATCATCACTCTTTTTCTCTCTCCCAGGTAACATTTAAAACATTTGAGTTAAATGTTTAAAACAGTGACCATATAAGAGATGTTGCCAATTCTTTGTTTTAATTTAATTAGTAATTAATTATTGAGAACCTATAGGCACAAAACATTGCAATACAAAAGACAAGTCCCTGCCCTCAAAAGAATCACCACTTTAACCCAGGAGAAAGACATAGACACATATAAAACAGAGCAATGAAGCAAAAGCAGAGAATGGGAAAAGTGCTGAACATGAAAATAAGCATTGTTAAGTTCTCAAATTATTTCTCTCTCACTGATATTATGTGATATGCTTCTGAACTTATTTCTTTAACTGATAGGATCAGATCTAATCATGTGTATTTGACCCACATAGGAAATAATAGCATCAAAATAAGCAGATCAGTTTCCTAAGAGCAGCACTCTGAATTGGGCTTACCTATCATATGCACACATTTGTCAGAATTAGTCTATTAACATTTTTCATTATTCACATCAAGCAAACAATGTGGGTTTTGCTTAAGTTAATGTCTCCTTTATTAATTAAGATGTGTTTGGTAATGTCATTTTTTAGAATTGCTTGAAATACTATTTAATTTTGTTTCAACTATAGAAACCATTGTTAATATGTCTATAGAAATCAGGCTATAGAATTAGTAGTTCTTCCCAAATAGTAACCTTTTAGAGAAAATAATTCCTGTTTTCATAATTATGACCATTTCAAGATGCCAAAATGATGATATGACATGAATCAGTGCTGTATTAGCAGGTAATAATTAGATTATGAATGGATCTTTAATTACTGACCAATTAACTCCTAATAGATTTTTTTCAATAAGCCCAAAGGCTAACTGACAACATAATCAATGTAAATGAAGTTTACATTTTGTTCTACCGCTTCTTTTTAAACCTCAGATTAATGTAGCCGCTAAAAAAGGAATGAAATTTGTTGGATTCCTATCACAGCATTATCCACCATTTAAATATTGCAATGGAACCAACCATGATGGAGATTTAGAATCAACACTACATGTGAAACACAGCTTAGAGGAAAACTATAAAAGTTGGAATGAAGGAACATTAAGTGGGCAATCATCTGAGAGTGGAATTGAGGAAGAACTTCATCATGAAAGTGGACAGTGTCAAATGGAACAAGATGGCAGCCCTAGTTCCTCTAAATCAAGAAAGGGAGAAGGTAATAGACAAGATGAATAGAAATAGAATATATTGCTAAGAATATTTTTGCAAAATGAGTTTTTGAAATTTTTTTATAAATAGGAGGCAAAGTAAATTGCTAAAGAGTATAAAGACTCAATAAATTACTTAAACTTATCTTGATTTTTTTCCAATTTTACAGCCAGAAATAAATTAGGACAGCTCTCAGTTGGTCATATATAATTCATATCATGTTCATATAACGAAATTTGGTGTTGAAAATAGGTTTCCATTTAGTCATTCACCAATTGCCTCATAAAATGGAAGCTGTACATATGTACTGAAAAAGTGGTCCAGTAAAGAAACTTGTTCTGATTTATGTTTCTCTGTATAGACAGTTTGAGAATTTTAGTTTTGGTCTTTCCCATTTCACATATGGTTTTCACCATTAAAGTTAATTGGTTTTCTTTGATCATCATTTAGAATACAAAAATAGCACATCATGAAACAATTAATTTAACAATAGTGCCTGCAACCTAAAATAACTTTAACAATAGTTTTGTTGTTCTTTGCCAACTAGTAAGTCCTCTCCAGAAATTGAGCATATTTTATCCATGAATTCTGGACTGCTAAATATTTTCTGATACCTTTTATGGCTTGCTTTAAAAAGCTCTACTAGAGGGCCTCCCTGGTGGTGCAAGGGGTTAAGCACTGCACTGTGAAGTAATCCACAGCCTCTGCAGCATGAGTTCGATCCCCGGCCGGCCAGGGAGCAACCCACATGGTGAAGCAGACCTCTCTTGTTTCGCCCGCCCGCTGCTCCCCTCAGCAGTGTATTCCAGTCAGTCTGCCTGTTCTGTTCCCCACTCTGTCTCTGAGGAGTCCTCTCACCCCCCACATCTCCGGCCTGTTCCCCAGCTCTTGATTGCATAAATAAATAAATCTTTAAAAAAAAAAAAAAAGCACTACTAGAGAAAAATCAAAGACCATGTATACCTTGGAGTTAAAGCTTTGGAGTCAGACTACCTCAATTTATTTTTTTAAAGGTTTACTTTATTTACTTATACATACAAGAGCTGGGGTGTAGGCCAGGAGTTGCGAGGTGGGGGCAGAGGAGGAGAGAGGATTCATTAGAGACAGAGTGGAGAGCAGAACAGGCAGATCCACTGAAATACACTGCTGAGGGGAGCAGCGGGCAAGACAGGAGAGATCTGCTGTGCCATGTGGGTCAGCAACCTGGTCAGGGATCAAACCCATGCTGCAGAGGCTGCAGATAGTTTCATGGTGCTGAGACTTAACCCCTTGTGCCACCAGGGAGGCCCCTCAATTTCTTTATTAAAGGGAGATTGTTGCAAGAAGTAGACTAGAGATGTTTACAAAGTGCTTAATACAGTGCCTGGCACAGAAGAAACTCTGTATTAAATTAACTGCTATTAACTGACCCCTTGATCAGCATTGGTGCTGCAATTATACACACTGGTGGCATCTGCTTTTCAGGGCTATGGTGTCATATACTCAACACTGATGCAGTGTCCATTCGACAACAGTGTCCTTAAGAATCAGGAACTTTTCCCAACTCGACATCTTACCCATCTTCACCACAACCACCATCACCATCTCCTTCTCCCCCATGCTCCCACCAATTCCCTAGCTTGGCAAACCACCCTAATGTTCCTGCAGCGTAAAAAAATTAGGACTAGAAGAGTGAACAAGAATTGTTGAACTTACGGTCACAGAGTCACTGTCTTCAACCTACTGCTACTCTTAAACTCCTTGCTCTTTCCCACCCTGACTTTGGTTAGATCAGGTATCTAGTTCCAGTCCTATAAGTTCCAAACCCAACATGCTACCTATTTAATTTAATCATCAACCTTGAAATAGCTCATAATTATGTTTTAAAAGATTTTTAAAAATCTTTTCAATAAAATTATAGTTTTCCCCTTTTCTCTTCCTTCTGAATGTCTACCCTCAGAGAATAAGTTTTACACAGTCTTCAATGTTTTTGATGATGAATCAACCTGCTGGACCTATCAGGAAGGCATCCTGTCAATGAAAGTAACAAGAAAAGGATCTGTCATTAGTACACTTGATGCTGATTGGCTGGAATTAACTACATTTTATTACAAGCAAGGCTTGTCTTTAATTGATTCTTTTGTATGCTGGGAAACTTCTAAAGGTAAGTTTCATATTCTGATCTATTGATAGGTAAAGAATTTAACTTTAAATCAGTGTTGGTGGAAATGTTTTAGACTCTCAAATTATATGGCTGAGAGGACAGATATTATTTCTAAGGAAATAGAGTCCTGTCATTAGCTTTAATCTAAAATTTTTTACCATCCTATGTGGTAGAATTATATAACGTAATGTTTACTGTTGCGTCGTAACTATCTGGAATAGACTAACACTGTGTAATAGGCAAGTAGAATTTTCCAAATAAGATGTACTACAACAGCCTAATCAGAAGGCTTATGATGGCATTTGGCAGTTAACATCAAAATATATCACACTATCCCAATTTGGGACAGTACCAACCATGTATTCTAGTCTGTACCTGACTCTAATTTGTATAGAAAAGTAATCTTTGGTTCAGAAAATAATATTGTCCTTATATTTATGTCTGCCTTCTCTTTCATCTTTAACATTCCTCTTTTAGTTGCAGTGGAGATGTACATATTCATATGAGTCACAAAATCAAAAACAAATAAAACTCTCCAAAAATGACTTTCTAGGAAAGGTGTTTTAGAAAGATCGGTTATATCTGAAACTCATATAATGTTGTATGTCCATTGCATCTCAGGTTTTTTTTTTTTTTTTTTTTAAAGAAATTAGTGATGAAAAAAGAGAGAAAAACTAAGGAGACTGGGAGGGAATGCATTAAAAAGAATGGAGACATGAAACCAGGATAATTAGGGAATCTGTTTCAGTAAAAAGGAAAGAATTAAAAAAACAAGTAAGATCTCAATATATTTCCTTATTCAGTCAGCCTAGTGATACTTTAATACAACTAAGGACTTTGAATGAATATTTTAAATTATCAGGAGTCATGTTCCAATAGCTGCCTTTAACTAGCAACCAAGATTCAAGATTAAGGGTCAAGCCCATTGTAGCTTCCTGCATGGTGCTGGCCGCATCACAGGCACTCCATACACACTTCTTATATTTTTTGATTGTTGGAAAATTCCCGCAAGGCGGTCTTTTATGGAAAGAGCAAAATCTGATGGGAAGGGCAGGAACTTCAGAATCAGACATTCATAAATCCTATGTCTTGGGCCTCCCTGGTGGTGTAGCAGGTTGAGTGCAGCAGGTTGAGCGCAGCGCTGTGAAGTTGTCCACAGCCTCTGCAGCGCGGGGTTGGATTCCTGGCCGGCCAGGGAGATTCCCACATGGCACGGGAGGCCTCTCCTGTCTCGCCTGCTGCTCCCCTCAGCAGTGTATTTCAGTCAGTCCAGTCTGCCTGTTCTGCTCACTGCTCTGTCTCTGGTGAATCCTCTCACCCTCCCGCACTTCTGGCCTGTACCCCAGCTATTGTATAAATAAAAAATAAATCTTTAAAAAAATAAAAATTAAAAAAATCCTATGTCTTTTATTTATTAGCCATTTTCTGGAGAAATTAGTTGAGCTCACTGACTCTCAGTTTCCTGAACAGGGGATAAAAATACTCCTACTTAATTGTTGTGAGAATTTAATGAGCTATAGTTTGTGAAAAGCAACTACCACAGGACCTTTTGTACAGTTGTTCATTATCTGGTGTTAGTTTTCTATCCTGCTACTTGTTTTGTGCAATTACAATGCTTTTAGTATGCATCACCTATTTAGAGGTGACTTAGACTTCTCCACCCCCCTCCCCTTTCTCTCTCCCATTTCTCCCACCTCTCCCTCTTTGGCTTGTGACTAGCTGCTGAAGGGAAAATACTCCTTTCATAATCACTTTCAGGCATCCCTGCCTTGGGCCTTGCCCGATGAAAATAAAATTAGCCACAGCAGTTGCCAGCCAGAGGCTCTGTGGGGCTTTTGTTCTTAAAGCCTCAGAAGCTATTTACAGAGCCTGGGGGGAGACTCCCTCCCTCTCAGCAGCTCTGGAATGTCTCATTAGACATTTTACATGGCAGGCCATTCCAAGCCCCTAACGAGCCACCATTGAGCCACTGTGGTCTGTGGGGTCTGGCAATTGGGTGTGTCACCAGGGACTTTCCTGGGAGTGCACAGAGAAGCTGCAGAAGGGAAATGGTGACAAATGCCTGTGTCACTGTGAGAAGCAAGTCAGAGGAAGCAGGGCTGAATTGGTGGCTTTGTTCTGGGATATTTGATGCCTGACATCTAAAGCACATGGGGACAATACGTATTTTGTTTCATCTTGCTTCCATCCTCTTCCAAAATATTGTCAGAAGTCAGCCCACCACAGGGAATAGAAGTACAAAACCATACATTGCTCAGAAATTTAAATATGTTATTCCACAAATCTCATCTTACTCCAGAAACAGAGAGGTAGAAAAAACTAGAGTTTTCTATTTCAACAGGGTCATGGTGGCACAGTCGTAAAGTGTAAAAGTATGAAATTTCTGTCCAATGCCATCTCACCCACTCTCAAAGTTCCTGCTTGGAAAAGCCCCATGAGAGGCCCCCCGAGGCCCTTCCTCTGTCCGTGATGGTTCTCACCACAGCAGCAGCGTTCCTTATTGTCTTTGCTGGGCCTGCTCCAAACCAACTTTCAACTGAATTCACCCACCTGGGGTTGTAGAGGTAAAAAACCTCTAAATGGGGTGCCTCCCTGTTGGCGCAAGGGGTTAAGTCTCAGCACTATGAAGCTATCCACAGCCACTGCAGCATGAGTTCCATCCGCCAGCCAGGGACATGACCCACTTGGCACAGTGGATCTCTCCTGTCTTACCCCCTGCTCCTCTCAGCAGTGTATTTCAGTCAATCCACCTGTTCTGCTCCCCACTCTGTCTCTGGTAAATCCTCTCACATACACCCTTCCCCCAACCCCGCCCCTCTGGCCTGCACTCCAGCTTTTGTATGCATAAATAAATAAATCTTTTAAAAATAATCAAAAAACCTCTAAATGGACCCAAGAGGCTTACCCAGTTGAGCTTTATTCTATCAGAAGGTGTAGAGACCCAGCAGACAGCTGACATGGGATAGATGAGCAGCTTTGGCAGCTGATACAAAACTCACACACACACCCTTGAGGTTCCCACACTGCACTAGCCTATAAATGTCCCCATTATCCACAGGGCATAGACTCTCCCTACCTTGAGCACACCAACATCTCAGGGCTACTGGAGTGCAGGCAGGCAGCAGGGCAGGTTCTCTATGGATCTGGGCAGATGGGTCTGGGAGAATCCTGAAGCCCTCGGTGGCTTTTTCAGTCTCTTAATGATCTTTCTACACCACTTGTAGTGTGGCAGCAGGCCTCCCAGCCCCTGGAGAATCTTTACTCTGGGCTCTGACGTTCTCTCGTGGTCTCCCCACCACCTCATCCTCTACGCCCTACGCCCCCCCCACTCTATGATGCCGCCCTTATATGCTCAGTCTCTCAGCTCAGGTGTGCCCACTTACACATGGCCACACCTTACTCCAGGTGTCCACCTCAGGCATGCGTATCCCAAGCCCATGGTCCCAAGCACCTCCTGTATTCAAGGCTGCAGGTGACAGTCACAGAGGCCGACGGCACAAAAGCCTGAGCAATCTTCATTTACCCAACAGTTACATTTTGATTTTTATGAATGCTCTCACACTTCACTTAATTTTTATCTTTTTACTCCTATAAAAAATGCTTGTGGGGCCTCCCCAGTGGTGCAGCGGTTGAGCGCTGGGTTGCAAAGCTGCCCGCAGCCTCTGCAGCGCAGGTTCGATCCCCAGCCGCTGGGCGAGGGTCCCACATGGTGCGCAGACCTCTCCTGCCGCCCGCTGCTCCCCTCAGCAGTGTACTTCGTCAGTCTGCCTACTCTGCTCTCCCCTCTGGCTCTGGTGAATTCTCTCACCCTCCCGTGCTTCTGTCTATACCCTGTGCTTGTATAAATAAATAAATCTTTTTAAAAAACAACAACAAAAAAAATGCTTGGGTGGCCTCAGTGTTAAGTCTCAGCACTATCATGCTATCACCGATGCAGCCTAAGTTGAATACTCGGCCAGGGAGAGCAGCAGACATCTCCTGTCTTGCCCTTTGCTCCCCTCAACAGTGCATTTCAGTGCATCTGCCTGTTCTGTTCCCCACTCTGTCTCTGCTGAATCCTTTTGCCCCCCCCCCCGCACCTCTGGTCTACACCCAGTTCTTCTATGTATAAATAAAATTTAAAAAATAATAATAATTGTGTAGAGCTGGCAATGTATCAGAATGAGAAGTGGGTAGTGTAATGACATTGAAATAGGCATTTATTCATTTCACATATTTGTATATGCCAAGACGCAGTCCATGCACTGGGTTTAAAATTGTGAAGAAAATGGACGTCTCCCCTCAACAGTCTAGCAGTAACAGGTATTAACATACATTTATATCTAATTTCAAAACTGACAAAGTGTTGTAATGTTACCCCCCAGGGAATGTCATGAGAGTAACAGGAAAGAACTTACTTAGAGGGTGGTCAGGATGTCCTGCCTCCCAAGGTAACAATCACACTGTGACTGGAAGGCTGGAAAGGAACAGGCACTCAAGAACCAGGTCAGGGGTAGACCATCTTAGACAGATGAAACATCTCCAAGCATACATAACCCTGCTACATGAAAGAGGAGCTGGGACAAGATCTTGGAGCAGTGTGTGAGAGAAAGCATGGCTCTGCACAGGTGGGAGAGATAATCAGTAGCTTCTCCTTGCAGAGGTTACATAATGCAACAAGAACTAACATCTGTTTCAACTCCATGCCAGCATCATCACAAGCACTTCACATTTATTAACTCATTTACTCCCCACATCAACCCCATGAGGAGGTATGATTTGCCCCCTTTTCCAGATAAAGAGACAGAGGCACGCGCAAAGAAGTTAAATAATGTGTGGGCACTTCACCAATATGCCATCCTTGCAAATTTGTATTTCAAGTACCTCACTGAAGATTTAAACAGGGAATCATCTTCACCTGATCTGCCATTTTGAAAGAAGCTCTCTGACCTCATTTTGGGAGGTAGGGCAAGAGTGGAAGTGGGGAGGCAGTTAAGAGGCAGTTGTCATGGTCTTAAGGCCACAATGGTAGAGATAGAGAAGCAGACAGACCGAGATTGATTTTGGAGAGAGATACACATTTTAGAGATGCCAAGAGCTCCATAGTTACCTCCTCTGCACTTCCCAGAGAAGGACCCATGCCTGGGTAGTTTAAAGCTAAGATGACTTGTGGACCCAAAATACTAAAATGAAGTGTTACCTTTCCTCACATTTACAGGAATGTCATCATAACTAGCTGAAAACAATGTGCAAAATCACATGTCCAGACAAGTAAATCATTCCCCGGGAAACCTTTAAGCTGGAGCTTCCAAACAGAGTCCACATCCCTCAGGTGTATGCAGCTTAGTGCCAGGGACATGCAGGTTCACAGCAGAAATCTCTTCCTCGAGTGTCAGTAGTGCTTTAATATTGGTGGAAGGGGTGAAGATGGGAGAGGGCAGAGAGAACATTACTCTTTCCATAACATAAATATATTTTAAAAGAATACAAAATTTGCATGGATTTTTAAGATGTAGCATTAGGTTTAAAAAAAAATTGATTGCAATGAATCACTTAAAAATACCTGGAGATCATCTTTCAAGTATACAAGTCTTTTTTCCTTTGCGAATGGTCTTATTTGGCTAAAAAGAAAAAAATTGAGAAGCAGTAGGTCAAGCCAGTCTTTGTAACTTTTTCTATTATGCATGGAAATGCATAGCTATCCAGACCATATGGAACATGGTAATGTTTCAGGGCTAATGGCTAAAGTGGATAGAGTTTCTGTGGGCAGGAGGGGGCGCCCTGGATCTTGGCACATCTGCAACCTGTTTGCATGCAAGTGGGCCACTGCACCCCAGTTGTGAATCTCTGGGCTACATAAGAGGTGACTCTTTGCAGGTAATTACTAAAAAATTGTTCAGAATTATCACCTCACCCCCCCATTCCTGGACACAAACGGTCACTTCCCCATGAGACAATACTTGCCATGCTTCCTAGCTGCACTTCTTAGGCAAAATTTCTCAGGAAATATAAGTGTTCCCTTCCAGTGCAGGTGTCAATCTTCTGTGGCTCTGGGAATTGTCATGGGCCCTAAAAAAAGCAGCCAGGGAGCCTGAGGAGCTCTCAAAGTGAGAAGAATGGTCTTTTGTTTTTAACTGAAGTGTAGCATGCTTATAGTAGTGTGCATGAATCTTATGTGAACAGCTGAATAGAACACGTGTTCAAAATACAGAACATTTCCTTATATGTCCATTACATCTCAATAAAACTGGAAAAATATCTCAGTTATATCTCAACAAAGCTGGGGGAGAGGGAAAAGTACAAAAACAAAACAAAGATATAGAACATTTCCCATATTCCAAAAGACCTTTTTATGACCCTTGCCAGTCACTGTCTTCCCACTCAGAATTATCTGACTTTCAGCACTATAGATTAATGTTGCCTGCTTGTGATCTTCAGTTCAAGTATACAGAATTTAGTCTTTGGTATCTGGCTTCTTTGCTCAACATACTATCACTGAAATTCTTCATGGTTTTTTTCTTTGTGTAATATGTTATTGCATTGTGTGACTCTACCACATTTTTTAATTTTTTATTTATTTATTTATATATATTTTACATCATTGTTCATTTTTAAACAAAGTTTGCTTCCCCCCCCACCCCACCTCAGGTGTAGTCCCCATAGAATTTCCTCCAGCAATTCACCCATGCACCATCACGACAGTCCCCCGTGCTCCTCCCTTCTTCTGATCCCTCTTCCTCCCCCTCCCTTGCAGGATGTCTCTGGTTTATAATTGTCTGTTTTGGGTTTTTTTTGTTGTGCTTTGTACTGTTATTATTTTTCCCCTGATGTCTTATTTGGTTCCCCTATATTCCTCCTATAAGTGAAACCATCTGATATTTTTCTTCTTCCTTCTGGCTATTTCACTGAGCATAATTCCTTCTAGCTCCATCCACGTTGCTGCGAATGGCATGAGTTTATCTTTTTTGATTGCTGAATAGTATTCTATTGTGTATATATACCACATCTTCTTGATCCAGTCATCTATTTTTGGGCATTTGGGTTGTTTTCAGGTTTTACCTATTATAGACAGTGCTGCAATAAACATAGGGTACAGGTGTTCTTTTGAATCAATGTTTTTGTGTCCTTTGAGTCTACCACATTTTCAATCTTCTAAACCAAAAGAGGTTTAGAGCCACAAATTTGGCTCTTAAACAGAGCCACAAAACCCATGGTTCTCCCATTATATGATCCCAAAGTAAATAAGAGGCAGATTACAATTAACTACATAATCAACACAGCATGTAATCATTTCTAAAATTTATTCCCTGATTTTTAAAAGGACTTGGGGCATGTACAATTTGAAGATTATCTGTTGAGGCCCTGATTTGATTATCAGAAAGATTTGATTCCACTAGTCACTTTTTTTTTTTTAATGCATACAAGTACAGGCCAGAGGTGTGGGAGGTGAGAGGATTCACCAGTCAGAGCGAGGAACAGAACAGGCAGACTGACTGAAATACACTGCTGAGTGGAGCAGCAGGCCAGTCAGGAGAGGTCTGCTGTGCCATGTGGGTAGCTCCCTGGCTGGGAATCAAATTCATGCTGCAGTGGCTGCGGATAACTTCAAAGGTTGCATCTTAACCCCTTGTGCCACCAGGGAGGCCCAGATTCCTTCCACTAGTCACTTTGATGTGATAGTGGACAAGTACAATTAAATTAAGTGGAACATATACTATAATTAGAAAACAAATTCCAAATAATACAGTAAACTTTACTGGATTCTTCGAAACTGCTCTGAACAATATAAAATTCTTCATGATATTCTGCCCTGTATATAATGTGAAAATAATAATTATTTTCTCTTAATGCTTACAACCTGCTAATAAAAATTAAAGCTGAAAATTACACTGAAATTACTCTTGTCTTTTTTACATTTTAGCTTAATAACTCATTTGAAAATTTTGTAGGCCTTTATGACTGTCTATAGGTTGACAGATAACTATCAACCTTGATGTGATTTTGTGCTATATAAAACCAAACTGTTTAACCAGCACATGACCATGAGAAAATCGTCTCCATACAAAACAGGAGACAAAAGTACTTCCATAAAATCAGTTTTGTTTGGGCCAGCTGGTTGTTGTCAACTATTCAAGAAAAAGTCAGAAAGGTTCTCCCTTAAAACTTCCTTCCCAGCAGGAATTCTTTTGACAATGACTTCTGTTTAGATCTTGCTGTTGCTATTCTTTTTTAAAACATTATTAAGTTAAAGAATTATTTTTTGCTTATATTTCTAAAGTAATCTTACCTCTCGTTAGATTTTAAGATTACATCTGTAATTTCTGTTATTAACTTTTTTGTGGTTGTTTCTCTTAGTGATTAACATGCATATAACATATAGATCAGAAACCAAAATTTTATTTCACAATGAAGGCCACTTCCAGATTTTTTTTAGGCAGGAAATCCATTTGCTTCTCAGTGTATCATATTATTTTATTGCATTTGTGTTATTATAATTTTCATGTTTATAGTTTGAATACTGTCCAAAAAAGTTAACATTCAGAAAGAAGGAAGGGGATAAATAAATAAAATCTAGTTTTTATAAATAAATAAAATAAACTAGTATTTATTTATTTTTAGGGTGTTTATTAACTGATGCATTTTTTATTCCAGCTCCCTACAAGGGTTATTTGAGAACTTAGATGATCTTAAGAGACATTTAGTGTTTACAGCTCTTTTTAACTGTGTCCTTTTCTGCACAGGGGACCATTTGCCTAAATCTTTGGAAGGATTATTTATCTATGAAGAAGAGGGTTCTGGAATTCCAGGTTCTAGTAAGAAAGGAAATGATGCCATCGTAGTAGAACAATGGACTGTTATTGAGGTAAACCAGTTTTCTGACAATTTAGCTTTGCTTTCATACTCAGTTTTACATGTTAAAAATCTTTTTTACCTAACACATGCAGTATCCTTAGAACACATTTGTGCAGAACACATTTGTGCAGCGTTCAGAATTTCATCAAAATGACAAACTTTGTTCAGATTTGTGAAAAGCTGGTATGCTTTACTCACTGTTCAACTTCATTATGAAAGCAAAATGATTATCCATACATAAGTTGCAGTAGAGTCCCAAAGATCTGATATTCTAATCCTAAACAAAGTCCCCTTTGAAATTCTCTACACAGCTCCATGCCAACTGCTGAAAGTAAAAAAAAATTCAGTCAATAACCAGTGTTTTACGTCCAAGCAACCAATGTGACTGACTCTTTTTTTTTACCTTGTGAATTGACTATCAAAGGCAAAAATATCCAAAAGGTGTTCTCTCTCTCGCCAGGCCAATATGTACACACAGCATTGTCCTTGCTAATCAGAGGTGACATTTTTGCTGATGTTGTGCACTCTGAATTCAGATGTCACCGAATGGACTGCCCTTGAGGTGGACAGACTGAATTCAGGTATATTGTGTTGTGTGTATGAGGCCCTTGCGGACAAACTCTTTCACAGACACCTTTGCTTTGTGGGCCTACAAAGGTTAGAGAGACTTAGTTCATTTTCAAAGAAATCAGAAATTCCATAGAGGAAGAGAAAAGGATTTGGAGGAAGAATTATCTGAGTGAAAATTCATTCCAAATAGGGAAAAAGTGTAAAAAGAGTCTTCATCCAAGCTCCTCTTATCTTTCCCAATCCTCACTCCCTCTCATGCCCTTACTTTCCAGCCCCTGACCATTGTTTCTGAAAAAGAGGTCTATAAACTTCTTGGCTCCAAATCACCTTCGGAGCTTTTTAAAAATATACAAAGTCTCAGTCTTCCAAACATTAGAGCGTGATTCTCAAGCAAGACCAAAGGAAGGGTCAAGTATGAAGAACTAGATGCAAACCTCTCTCCACTCTGATCCCCAGATTGAACCATTGAAATTGGTTCAGTGGTTAGAAGGCACAGGTAGTAGAAAGTAAAGCCCAGGAAGAGCGTGCCCCAGTGAAATTCTACTGAAAGGAGAGTGAACTCCCATCACCCTTCATTATAATTGCTATGTAGCTGGTTGTCTTTTTCATTAGACTATGAGCTCTTATGCTTATTCACACAGGGCTGTGAAATCAAAACAGATTATGGCCCTCTGCTGCACACCCTGGCTGAGTTTGGATGGCTTCTGACAAGTGTGTTGCCCACCCCTATACTGAGACATGACAGGTAACAACCATGCATCCCTACACACTCTCATTTAATTCATTTGTTAGAGAATTCAATTTGACTCATGCTTTTGGAATGCCCACAAAAAACATTTCACTAAACTTCTAATCTCATTAGATTAGACCTCGAAGGTCAGTAAATCTAATCCCCTAGTGTCATACATCTAGGAGCTATTGTGTCTCCTCCCAGGCAAATGAGTTCATGACCGCAGTCAGAGCAGGGACATGGGAGGCTGACTCCCCAGCTTGGTGCTACTCCCAGCATTCTGAATGCTGACACCCAAAGATTGCATGATGATATCTTCTCTCTTCCAACTTAATTGGAAATTCTTCCTAGAATGAAGATTAAATCTATATAAACCTGCAAAAAGAAAGACACAGTCCTCCACGCACCCTTTGTCCAGCTTTTCTCCACTGCATATGCAAAACTGCCCTCCCTGCAGCCCACACACAGCCAGGTTTTGACTGCATGGGGCCCTGGAGAGGGACAGGCTGGAGAGCGCCAGCTTTTCTGACTTCTTCCCTCCTCTCTGGTGGGGTGGGTTCATTTTCCCCAGGAACATTGACTTGTTAGCTGTTTCCACTAAAATACCTACGTAAGAGCCACAATGCCAACATCTCACAAATACTAAGTTTTCCTTTTCTGTTTTTGCTAACTTTACCCATTTCTTTTCCTGGAAAAGAGAAATCGAGTGATTGCTTTTTGTTGCTGCTGTTTGTTTGTTTGTTTGTTTGTTTGTTTGTTTTGCAAGAGAGAGACCAATTAAGTCTTCTGTATAAAATGCTTCACTATTTCTTGAACCCAGAGATGTTCCCGTTTGCCCCCTTTAGCATTTTAAGTGATTGACTGCCAAGCCTTCCTGCCTGGGCCAGCAACTACCTGCAGAGGCAACACATACCACCTGGGCCTTCCTTTTTCCCAGAGTCAATCATGGTTTAACATTCTGAGTAAATGTCAGGAGGTGTACTAAGAAAAGCAACTCGTTAGTCCTCAGTCTTTCATCCTTCCCACCTTTTCTAGAAGGAAAGGTTAGAAGTAAACAAAGCAATTTAGCTGCTTTTCTTCTCAGAAATCTCATATATCGTTCAACTTGTGAATGACAAGTGACATACCTGGCAAATCACAAAACAGCAGAATTTTCAAGATTTGATCTTCAGACCAAGCATATCAGTTGCCTGGAGAGTGTATGAAATGCTTATACTCGAGGCCAACCCTCAAGTGGGTAGGACAGTAGGACTGTGTGAGTAGGACAGAGTGAGAGCTTTGCGGGTGGGACCCAGGAATCCACAATTTCACCAGCTCCTGAAGTTCACTAACATTTGATGAACATTCAGAAAGTAGTAAAAGAAAAGGAATTCCTCTGCCTGTTTTTGTACCCTTCACTGTCAATCCAAGCCATCTGTCTGTTCTAGGCCCACCCTCCCTTAGAATAACTTGAGTATTTGACCATCGGATTTCTTTTTGTCTTCCTTGGTATGTAATTTAAATTATACAGGCCCCAATGCCATTAACCCTTCCTAAAAGTGCTCTGAATCCTTAACCTTTTTGTATTCCTTTTTCACAATGAAATATGTACTTACTGTTCCTTCTTCCCATTCACTTGGAGATTCTGCTCTCATGAGTCTAAATATTTCCTAAGGGCCTCACCGGTGGCGCAGTGGGTTGAACGCCACGCTGTGAGGCTGTCCGCAGCCTCTGCAGCATGGGTTCAATTCCCGGCCGGCCGGGGAGATACCCACGTGGCACGGCAGACCTCTCCTCTCCCGCCCGCTGGCTCCCCTCAGCAGTGTCTTTGGTTCATCTGCCTGTTCTGCTCCCCGTTCTCTCTCTGGTGAATTCTCTCCCCCTCCTGTGCCTCTGACTATACCCCGGTTCTTGTATAAATAAATCTTAAAAAAAAAAAAAAGAAAAGAAAAGAAAAATAAATAAATAAATATTTCCTAAACCAATGGGGCACTAGACTCGACAGTGAGCCTACTGGGCTTAGTCCCCAGTGGAACCAGAGAACACAGCCAGAACTCCCTGAGCATCTCCTGCTTCTGGTTGGTTTGGGAATGAAGCCAGGACTGATGCCAAGTTTGGGAAAGAAGAGACCTCAAGGATAGTGTGAAGGGGGAACACAGTGAAGCTTGGAGACACGGTTGACCACCCTGTCCTGCAAGCTAAACTTCCTAAGATCATAGCTGTACCCTGTGAGTGGGATAGGAGTGGCTAGATACTGTTTTTGGAGCAGAGGTAGGAAGCACCAGTGCCTCACCACCTTTCTAGCACCCCTAGTATCCACCAAGGCACGTGGAATCACTGAGTGAAACTTTAATGCCTTTAATGCAAAGGTTCCTCTTTATATGCAATTAAATAGCAAAGGACCTGTTGCTGGACTGCTCACTAAGCTGTAACAGCAAAACATTGGACACAATATATATAAATGTCTACCAGTAGGAAACTGGTTGAATAAATTATAAGTTATCCATAAAATAGAACAGTATGAAGCTGATAAAAAATATTTTGAAGATCTGTATCTGTATTGTCAGAATTCTTTCTGCTGATAATTGTGGAGTTAAAAAAAAGTTCCAGGACCTCCCTGGTGGCGCAGGGGTTGAAGTCTCAGTGCTATCAAGCTATCACCAGCCACTGCAGCACTGAGTTCTATCCCAGGCCAGGGAGCTAACCCACATGGTACAGCTGACATCTCCTTCTTGCCTGCTGCTCCCCTAAGCAGTGCATCTCAGTAGATCTGCCTGTTCTGCTCCCTGCTCTGTCTCTGGTGAATCCTCTCATCCCCCACACCTCTGGTCTATACCCCAGCTCTTGTATGTATAAATAAATAAATCTCTTAAAAAATAAAATAAAATAAAAAGTTCCAATTCAGTATTGTAGTACAATCTGAACTTTTAAAATTTAAACATTTTGCATATATCTAGCCAAACTCTGAAAGCCTGCATAGCAAATTCAAGTATTTAGATATTAGCTTTGTAGTTAGGGGAAGGGAAAAGTAAGGATTTCTACTTGATCTTTATACCTTTTTTTATGAGTTGACTTTTTACAAGGAATATATATTTTGTGATTTTTTTTAAAAAAGCAGTTTTAAAGAACAAAAAAAGTTAATCAACTGATAAAAAAAGATGTAGAAACTGTATATGGTGTCTGCCCTGAAGGAGCTTGTGGTTAGCTAAGTTTGCATTTCGTACATAAGCAGGGGTCAAGTCTATGTATTGCATAATATAGTAACTAATCAAAGTTGAATGAAATACTTTATAAGTTTTATAGGAGTATTAAAAAAAAATGGATAGACAACATAAGGATCTTCAAATAGTAATGAAATAAAAGGCACCACCACCTTTTACCAGTTCTCTATATCAGAATCTGCTCTTGATCTGTGATAGATGTTAACAGAAAAATGCATTTAACAGTAATTATCCTTAGGCAACAAATACACTGAACACAATGTGTACTGTTGCTTCATATGCCAGGAACATTGCACAATATTTTTTTAAAGATTTATTTATTTATGCATACAAGAACTGGGTTCCAAGCCAGAGGCATGGTGGGGGCAGGGTGAGAGGATTCACCAGAGACAGAGTGGGGAACAGAATAGGCAAACTGACCGAAATACACTGCTGAGGGGAGCCACGGGCAAGACAGGAGAGGTCTGCTGCGCCATGTGCATAGCTCCCTGGCCGGGAATGGAACTTGGGTGCTGCAGTGGCTACAGATAACTTCATAGTTTGCATCTTAACCCCTTGCACCACCAGGGAGGCCCCATTGTGCAATATTGCTATTTATTTTGTTCCTTTACATTTTGTAATGTGGGTCCTCCTAGTGCATGCAATGTAAACAATAAAGGATAAAGGTAATGGTGCATGAGGGGGCCTCCTTGGGACCTAAGGTTTAAGTCTCAGGGCTATGTCCAGGATGGCCTGAGTTCAATCCATGGCCAGGGAGCTAATCCACATACGGGCAGAGCAGACCATCTCACCTATCTTGTCTGCTGCTCCCCTCAGCAGTGTGTTTCAGTAGATCCTCCTGTTCTGCTCCCTACTCTGTCTCTGGTGAATCCTCTTACCCTGTGCACCTCTGGCCTACACCCCAGTTCTTGTATGCAAAAAAAAAAAAAAAAGGTAAAGTTGCATGATGTTATCTGGTAACAAAGATTGTTGGTGAAAGCTGTTCTCCTCTAAGTTTTTATTCTTGTCCAAATGTACTGCCCTTGTGTACATCACATGTGGATATCAACTGCTTCAATGCACACAAAGATAGTACTCATTGTCAATTATGATATATTAAATATAAACAAAAATTATTTCTCTTTAAAAAAGGGATTTAGACTGGAAAAAAAGAAAAATATTATATACAGATCATCTTGGTCTAGGTGGAGGTGGATAGAGCTTAAAACATTTTAGTTTTCAGAGCCCAGGCTTTGGAGCTTAACAGATTTTGTTTTAATTACATCTTCCATGGTTACTAGCTGTATGACTCTGGGAAGACACCTAGCCTTTTTAACTCTCCTTGTCTGGAGCATGGTACGATAGCAACTTTACTGGATTATCATGATAACTGTAAATGCAAGGTACCTAATAAACTAATAAATTAGAGCTATTATGTGGGAACTAACCCTTTAACCAAATCAAAACCCCTAAGAATTGAAAACCAATTGAGAAAGGGTGGTTGCTCAGCTTATCCTAAATCAGAATATTTCAGAAAATGTAAATACTATAGTTCTCTACATACAAAATCCTACCGGCACTGGGAAAAGGTTTTATGGCAGATTATGTCATCTTCCTTTGGGGAATGGGAATGGAAAAGATTACCTCATTGGTGCTAACCAGAAAATTCCACCCTGACCAGTGAAGACTACATTCCTGGGGTGGGAGTGGGGGTTGAAACTGCAGTTAGTTTAGGTAGTAAGTCTTGGTGGGTTTAGCATAATCCCACCATTTTGGGTCTGTAGTTTTCCTTTTAGCACCTTCATTACTCAAATATATTCTGTTACTGGATTGCAT